CTTTGGCAGGTTGAGGATAGCAAAGTGGACCTGGCTCTCCACCTGCAGGGCGGCGGGCGGGCGCGGCTCACCCCCTCCCTCCTACTCACCGCTCCACTCAACACCTTCCTCCCTCCCAGCCTCCGTGCGTCTGTGCCTCCCTGCCCTGTCCACGTCTCCCGCCTCACCAGGTTGATCTCGACGAGCAGCGGCTTGTCGTCGAGGCGCTTGACCTCGCGCTGCAGCTCGGAGAGCAGGGCGAGCGCCTCCGTGTACTGCTTCGACTCGAGCAGCAGCGCCGCCAGCCGCGTCTGGATCCGCTGCCGCAGGAATGAGCGCTTCTCGGCGCGGCACCACTCAATGCTCTCGTTGCAGAGCCGCATCTGGAGCGCCATCGAGTCGGGGATCTTGGCGACCTCTTCGATGAGCGTCCGCACCACCTTGGCCGTCCGCGCCTTTGGTATGATTGCAAAGAAGGGGCGCAGCGACGAGATGAGTGCCGCGACCTTGTCGCCTTCGCGCTTGCGCGCGTACAGCTCTCCGAGCTTGTAGATGGCCTGCTCCTTGGCTTTGATAGCCTCGTCGCTGGTGTCCTCCGCCTGGATCGCCGACACGAGGGCCGCCTCCTCGGGATCCATGTCGAAGTGCAAACGCCGCCCAGACGCCAGCGAACAAAAAATAAATTGGCCAAAAATAAATTGGCCATAAATTGCCCAAAAATAAATTGGCCCCGTGCAACAGCGGTCCGGCAGGCTGCCCCCAAGGCCCCCCGGGCCGCTGCGGGTTTGGGAGTTATGCTTAGGCACAGCTTCGGCGATGGCAGCCCCTCTCTGGGGTGTTGCATAGGCGGGGAGTCTCCCCCGCTGGTCTCCTCCTTCCCATTTTTTCTTTTCTTTTGAGAGCAGGACGCCGGGTTTGTCTTGTATGTGCATGTCGGGCCTGGGTGTGTGTGAGGGGCAGAGGGGCGGGAGCGTGCGGGGCAGAGGCCCAACGTCGGGCGGCTTGTCGGGGTCCAGAGCATTCGAGGGGGGAACGAGGAGGGGGGAATGGGCGGTCGGCGTCGGGGTAGCAGCACCAGGGCGTACGGGGTAGCCGTCACTTTCCTGCCTCACAAGGGCGGGGCTGTCCCGGAAAGTGAGAAACGCCGGGCAGCGTGGCGCATTCGTACGTCGGACTAGTCCCCATTCCCTTTGGCCCGCTGCTCATGATAGGAAGCGAAACCTGGACCGGTTGCGCTTCGCGACCCGTACTACGGCCCCGGCCACGAGGAGGACGGCGGCGGGCTGGTCGCTCCTATCATGGGCTTTGTGTCGCGCGGCATCGATGGCGCGTTCGGAGCAGAGCAGTGCTCTTGCGAGTGGACGCTCTTCTGGGCCTGCCCCGACTGGGGTAATGTC